ACCCGACGCGTTGAACGGCCGCTCGTCCAGGCAGCACTCGGCGAAGCGGCAGTGCAGGTTCTTGTAGGACAGGGCGGTGAGCAGCGACACCGCCCCGACGGCAACGGTCATGCTGATGGGCTCGAACGCCGCCACCGCGTGGGCCACCAGCAGCAGCCTCAGCACCTCGGCGCCCCCGAGCCGCCCCGCCGACGGCATCGCCTCCAGGTAGCCCGCCGAGGCTGAGCCGAGACCCGCGGAGCCCAGCCGCCGCCGGACTTCCGGCTTGCGTCACTTCCGCCCCGCAGCCTGGGGCGGCCATGTTGGTGAGGGGCCTGCTGTGCGCCGCCATCTTTGTGAGTGGCATGGAACGTGTTCGATAACCGAGGTGGGGCTGCAGCCACGCCTAGCTTTGACAGTTTTGCGGTCTTAAGAGTTTCTCAGAGGACTCAGACTCTGCTTTGTCTTCTCCCTTCAGTTGCTCTGGTGCTGTCACGGCGGGGTTCGTCCACCGCTGGCCTGCCTTTTCCTGAACAGTGGCTGAGCTTCGGCGTGACCGGCCCCTGGCTGCGGGACACTGCGGGCACCGCATCTCTTCGCTCCGCCGGCTACGAGGCAGGCCCTTGCCGGCCTCTGGAAAGCCAGTGCGAGGGAGAGAGAATTTCTGGTTTCCTCCTAGTTTCTAGGCGTTGGGGAAGGCACTGAGCGGGGGCCGGAGAAGCACAGGGCCGTGGGTGGGGAAGGCACTGGACTACCCGAGCCAAAGACGTTAGCCGGGTGAGGTGCCGGGAACAGGTTGGGCAGAACCGCACGTGGGCGTCCGGACGCTTGGAGGATGGCGACAGTGACAGGCAGTGCCGGCAGAGAATGCGAGAGTGAGAGCGGGAGGAGCCCCGCCCCGGCCACTGGAGGAGGGAGCTTTCCTGACTCCACCCCATCCCTGCTCAGGGTTGAGGGGGTGGGCAGGGGAGGGGGGGTCACTGGCAGGAGCCGGCCACACAAAGACCTTAAAAGACTGAGTCCAGGGCCCTCCCTGGTGGCGTGACAAGTTAAAGCGCAGCACTATAAAGTTATGTGCAGCCACTGCAGCCCGAGTTCCATCCCCAGCCCAGCCCAGAGGTGACCCCCATGGCTCCGCAGACCTCTGCTGCCGGCCCACTGCTCCCCTCAGCTATGTGTTTCAGTCAGTCTGCCTGTTCTGCTCCCCACTCTGTCTCTGGGGAATCCTCTCACCCTCCACACCTCTGGCCTGCACCCCAGTTCTTGGGTGCATAAATAAATAAAAATAATAATAAAAGACTGAGTTCAGGCCGGTGGGGCTCTTTGGATTGGCTTCAAATTGCACCCCGGGCTCTGCTCAGCTGACCCTACGGAAGACACATTGCCTGTGCCACATGCCAGCTAATAAATTTTCTTCTTTCTCTTAGCTCTGTCGTTCCCCTAGGTGGCCCTGCCCACCAGCCCTCTCTGATCTGTCTTCCCAACAACAGTGACAGGTGGCCTTTCAAAGAGGGCGGAGTCCTGCCCTGAACGTGCCTGCGGCTTCCAAAAATCTGTCGCCTTTTCTACTCTGACCTCAGGCCTGGCGTGACGTGCTCCCGCCTCCCTCCCTCCCAGGCTGCCCCAGCCCTTCTCTCTTCTGCCTAAGAGTCTTCGCTCATCCTGTCCTTGCTGCTGGACGCTCGCTTTGGAGTCTCAGCTGCCTGAGAGCTTGCAGGCTCAGCTGCAGGCCCCTCTCCCTTCCCTAGGGTGACCCTGCCCCCCCTAAACCCAGTCACCTGCGCCCAGTCACCCACGCCCCTTGTACCCTTCGGCCATTTTAGAGAATAGGTGAGTGTCCCATGAAGAAAAATTTCAAATAAAATATATGGAAAAAATATACTCTGCCCTCAGGAGGGGGAGCATAAGTTCCTAGCCCGTAAGAGTGGGCTGCTCAGGGGCGCCCGTCCAAGGAGATCAGCGTGTACCTGCAGTGTGTACTCATGTAATTATAGGGAGATTGGTTTGGGCTGGATAACGACTGTAAGAGCTTTGCAAACTCTCTGATTCTAAAATATTCTAAAATTAAAGCCATTTTTTTAAAATCCAGTTTTGTGGCCCTCCCTGGTGGCGCAGCGGGTTAAAGCACTGCACTGAGAAGCTGAAGCCACTTTCACATGAGTTCGATTCCCGCCTGCCCCGGAGGTGACCACATGGCGTGGCAGACCTCTCCTGACCCGCCCGCTGCTCCCCTCAGCAGTGGACTTTGATGATCTGCCTGTTCTGCTCCCCACTCTGTCTCTGGTGAAGCCTCTCACCGCCCCTGAGCCTCTGGCCTGTACCCCAGTTCTGTATGTACAAATAAATAAATCTTAAAAAAAAATCCAGTTTTGTATGTGTATGATATTATAAAAATCCTCTTCACACTAGTTTAAGCCCTGCTAAGTTGCCATTGGTTTATACAAGTGAGCAAATTGCCCTTGATGGACAAAAATGCTGAAATCACCAAATGCAATGAATGCGAAATGGACACATTGTCCTCCTGTACCCTTGAAATAAACTGTTTGAGTGATAAAGCAACCTTTTACTGATCACCTCTCATATATCCGACAGAAGTTTTAATATACACTGACATTTTGCAGTATATAACAAGTTCCTAGGAACATCATGTTAAGTGAAATAAGCCAGTCAGAAAAAGGCAGACAGTATGGGTTTCACTTATGTGACACATAGGCGGGTTCATAGAGACGCAGTAAAATGAGGGGTGCCAGGGGCTGCGGGGTGCGGAGTTGTTTAAAGAGTAGAGAGTTCTGTTTGACAAGATGAAAACAGTTCTGTAGATCAGACACATGAGTGAGTGTACTTAGCCCTGCTGCACAATTTGAAGATTCAAAAGATAAATTCTCAAGATTTATTTTACCTTTCTATGCACATAGGAGCTGAGGTGCAGGCCAGAGGCACGGGGGGCCAGAGGACTCCCCAGAGACAGTGAGGAGCAGAACAGGTGGATGGACTGAGACACACTGCTGAGGGGAGCAGTGGGTCAGGAGGGGTCTGCTGCATCCTGGGGTCCCTCCCTGGCCGGAGATGGGGCGCCTGCTGCAGTGACTGCGGACAGTGGCACAGTGCTGAGACGAACCCCTGGCGCCTCCAGGGAGGCCCAAACTTTGAAATTTTTTTAAAGTTTCTATCTCCATGAATATTGAATATTGAATTTTTTTTTCTGGATTGAGTCATCTTTACAATTACCATTATAACTAAGCCACCATTTGACAAAGTAGCACCACCTCAGGGCCTGGGTCGAAGGAGTTTCAGTGATTCCCTCTGGTGTCAGAGCAGTATGGCTGAGAGCCGCAAAGTCAGGGAAGATTAGCCTGGGAAAGGGCGGCAGAATCAATTTTAGAAAGGCACACAGAGGACGCTGGGGTCTAGAAATGGATTCCTGTTACATTATTCATGCTGTGCTCTCTCTGCAAGGTCTCTGGTGCCCTGGGGGTACACTTCCTGCAGCGTGAGTCTCCTGCCCTACTTAGGCCCTTTGATGTCATAGGGTCTGTGTTTTGTCCAGGTTTGCATTAATCAAGCCCCAAAATTTACCGGACCCCCCCCAACCAGCCCCTGCGTATAAACTCTCTGGAGTATGCTGCAGTCCTCCATCCTGCCAGCCCCCTGGGTAAGATTCTATAGCTCTCATATTCTCCTAGACTTCCTGATCGTGCAAAATAACTGTCTCTGGAGCGAAAGGCTCCTTCCTGCCCTGATCCTGCCTTTTGCCCTCCTCCAGGGCTGGGCTGAGGCTGAGGGGAAGATCCAGCTGAACCGAGGTGGGGGAGGTTGCAGGACTCCAGCCTGCAGGGAAGGCGCAGCTCAGGTTCCCCCCGCCCCCCGCCGCACCCCCCCCCCAGACTCTGCCTCCTGATTCTGACAATCAGCTTCCCAGGTTGCCTCCTGCCTTTTCTGTAACAACTAGGAAAATGGAATTAAACCATGCAGTGGTTCAGCATCCAGGGAATCAAGCTCTGAGCTTATGTTCCAGAGATCTTGACCTTTTTGAGGCAGTAGACTTTTCCAGCAAGTTTTCACAGAGAGGCCCTGGAGTCTCTAAGGCAGGGTGTTGAGGTTTACTCATATCTGTTAGCATTCCAGTTTGCTAGGCCTCTGGGCCCACCCTGGTGGTGAAAGGAGCTTCACCTCAACGTCCCAGGGATCTGGGCCTCACTCCCTTGGTTGGCATATGGTGCCCAGGGAGTTCGGGTTATGTTTGTTTCGCTGTTTTTTGGGGGAAAGGAGTGTCCTGCATTTCCACCCCACGTTGGGCTCAGTAATCAGGGTGCCGTGAATGGAAAAAGCAACGGAAAAGGCTTAGAATGGTGATTCAGCAGCAAGGCTGGCTGAACTTTTCAGGACCAGAGACAGCGCCTCCTGGTTGGCTCCAGGCTGCACGGAGCTGGCAAGTCCCTGAGCCTTATTGGTGTGGCTGGGGGGAGACTGCCCTGGGAGAGGCACTGGGGAGCTGCTGGTCTGAGGACTCAGAAATGGATGCAGACTGCCTACACCTGTCACCTCAGAAGATCACAAAAATGATCTAACAGGAAACACTCAAAAGACTAGGTTATTTAAAACGCCAACTGTTTGCAACCTCTGTTCGTACCCAAGTCGCACCAGAGTCTGTTGTATACAGGGGCTGTTTCGGGGTGCATGGCGTTTGGTGCTCTCCTCCTCTTGCTATTTTGTTTTCAATGATGCACACTTTATCTCCAGAAATGGTTATTTTCAGAATGGTTGTGGGATGTTACATATGCTTTCAGATAGCTGTAGAGAGGTAAAGCTGACATACCCAAACTCCAGATATTCAAAGTGTATGGTGGCGACATGTCATGACCTGTGTTTAAGCCCACGAAGCTCTCATCACAACGAACACAGCGAGCTCACCCGCCTCCCTCGGGGGTCCCCCTTGCCCTTCCCTGAGCTCTTCTCTCTCACTCGGTCCCTCCCGTGACTGATTTGCTTTCTCTCGGGCTAAATCAGTGCTCTTTCAATTGAACATTGCATATTTAAAAATACATATCAACACATCACATTTTGCTTCAAATGTGACCAGGAAAGGAAATCTGCGCAAACGGAACAAGGCCACTGAGGTCCAGATGCTGGTTTGGAGAAGTGGTTAATGGATGCGTCTCTCTTCAGACTGGAGAAGACTCTAGAGCCAGATTTGGCAACAAGAGGAACTGGCTCATCGGCTCGGGGTACGTTCTCTCATCCTTGCTCCTGGGT